TATATATATATATATATATATATATATATGTATATACATACAATTACCTGAGATAGACACTTGACTTTAGCAAACTTTCTTAATTGCACCTTCTTAACACAATCATGCCACAGACTCCCTTAAAATGCAAGACCACTCTCTATTAAGATGTGTGTCAGATGATGTTTTAAAATATTTTCTGGAACTTATGACTGCAAACCAGTAAGTGAAACCAAAGAGGTATGTCTTTAAGACTAGTTTTAATTCAATATGCACTGTTAATAATGTTACTACTTTTGCATGCACCTTGTACAGTTAGTAATTCTTTATGAAAAACATACATTTAAACAGATTTCTGTTTTTTGACTTGGTGAGGTCACTATAAATCTATTTGTAGTAATAAAAGTTTTAAAGCCCGTAAAACATTAGTTCTGAAGTTCATTATCAATTAAAGCATACGTGAAAAATACATTTGAAAAGTGCTACCACAGTCCAGGACATAGATGTTTCATTAAACCATGTTTAAAGGCATAGAAAATTTCAGACATACTGGCTCTTCATTACCTCCTTTTGACTTTTTTTTTTTTTGAACTAGGTTCTGTTTGCTTGGCCTAGCTGGAGCCAGTTCAAGTTGTCTCACTTGGTTCCATGGGTCTCTGTCTTCTCCACTTGCAATAACACCATGAATACCAAGCAGGCATCTAGACACATATGAATGTATATACAGTTTTAAACACAATGAAACTTTAGTTGCTCAGTGCATAGTTGGATAAATCAGTGTATGAGCCTGGCAACCATTTCTATTTTTTAACATTATGAGTTTTTGGTTGGTGTCAATATATTTGCAAAAAACTCTGCAGAAGATTGGAAGCTGTTAAAATTGAAAACTAGGTCATTTGATTTTCTTAAACCTTTATCTAATGTGTTTAAAAAACTGAACAAATTTAAGCTTTTATGCCTGGAAGATAAATATTCAAAAATATAACTATTGTATTTTACTAATTGTTTCCTGAGGCCCATAACTTCTGTCATGGTTCTGCACTTTTAGGTCCTGTGTAAGTTTTCTTTTTGAGTTTTCAGTTACACTTTGATTCCTGTTTTTCTGTTTTTTCAATGTCATTGGTTTCATTTTCATGTCGTATCGTTCCAGTAGTTTTCTGATTGTATTTGCATTCTTATATATTTGTTTTTTAATCTCTGTTGTCCCCCTGTGCCAGTCTCCTTTCCCCTAGCTTCCTTCTAGATCCTTCTATCCACACCTGCTCCCAATCAGTTGATTACTCTATTCTTTGTTCTCTTTGGCTCATATACTCCTCCTCTGCAGTTACTCAGTGCTGGATTCCCTTAAACCATGTGTTCCCCTTTGTTCTGGTTCTGGTTCTTGTTTTCCTTGATCAGTTATTTTTTTGGATCTATGCTTCTGTTGCCACTACTTATCAAATCAGCAAGAAACCACCTTAGCCTCTGTGTGTGCATTTGGTTCCTCTAAAAATCTCCACTTAACCTGACAACATTAATTTCCTCATATAACTGGTGGTTATCCTTGTCTTATTTATTCAGTAAACGTTCCAGTAAATAAATGTAACTAAAAACTATGTTCCCTTTTGGCTTTTAAAGTGAATCTAACAAAATGCTTGGTCTATTTTTATGTACACCGAGCACTATCAATGCACCAGCGGGCCAAAGCGCCAGCCAGTGTAGGGGGGCAGGAAGGGGGAATGGGCTCCACACTTAGCGGAGACTTGAGATGTTCTTGGGAGAGGCAGCAGTTCAGAACCGAACCTGACAAAAAAATAAATAAAAGGAAAAAATACAGTCTCAATCACACTTTGCCACCCTAGTGCCCCCACTCATAACACACAGACTCTTGAAAAAAAGAAAAAAAAACGTGGTGCGCATATTCGCACATAACACTCACATCCATTTATCCCAGGACCAAAGACCTGGCACCCCTTTGGAGTGCCAGTGCCCGGTACCGGGATTATTTGATGACCTTGTAGGTTAACTCTAAAATCCAGATTGGGGGCTGTGTGACCACCATAATCCAACCCATCTACTTCCTGCTTCGGACCCGACCCCCCAACCCGCACCTGGCTTGTGCCGGGGGTCGTCTGGGACTCCATACAGTAGGTTCTAATGATCAGCCACCTCGGACTAAAAAATTAATAAATTTCAACCATGCTTAAGGTCATTACCTTTTCAGCAGGAACATTTCCAAATCAATCCTGAATGCTTTAGAAAATGTAAGATTAATTCTATGTTGATCTTAAAATACAGAATGGTTAGGAGAATAGCATTATTGTTCACTATACTTCACTAGTGCAAATTGTATCTTCTTATAAAAGCAGCTCTGTACATATGATATATTTACTAAACATTTCTAAGAAGCTAAAAACCAGAGGTGGACAATCCAGGTCCAAAGAGTAAAAACCCCATCTAGTTTTCTTTCATTCTCTTTATTTATCCAGGTGATTAATCTCAAGTCTGAGCTCTGAAGTTAAAGATGCAAATAGTTGGAACTAATCTCTGTACAAGCTTTTAACCTTCTGGACTTGGATTATGCACCTCAGCTTTAGACTCTGACAGTTGATTTGGGTTTTTAAGTCTCTGTGTCACTGATACGACCAGAGTGTATTTGGAAGATGTGTTTACATGTTGGCAGAAAGCAGGTATAGTATTTGTCTTACACATTTGCATTTTTCAAAAAGTGACTTTGGTATTTCTTACCTAGATTTCTGAAAATATTGTCAACTATACCTCTAACGGTAGCTGTATGAAATGAAAGAAAATAACTTTTAATGCCTACTTACAAATGACAGGAAATAGTCTGCAACACATTTTTACATTTAAGGCTTTGCAGTTCGAAACTAACCCATCATATGCGAAATGCTGTAAGTTTTTGGGTCGTGAGTTAAAAAGATTGATTAATACCAAACTGTGAAGTGTTTTTTAAATAAAATAAGTCGCTTTAAAATCACTTCCATCACAAACGTGAATTAGGTAAGACAGGTCCATAATAAACCCATAGATTAAGTACACCCTAACGATGTGTCTTAATTTAGCTGACTGAAATGATCTACTTCAAAAGTAGAACTAGAACGATTTCAGTGCACTTGAGATGAATATGGTTGGAGATTTCAAGCTGATCTATTGGTTTTAAAAAGAAAACCTGTACCACTGCCAACTACAAATTGATTTATTTTGTGTTTGTCCAACTCTATCTCCCAACCATGGCTTTTTGCCTGCAGAGAAAGGATAAAAATCCACAATATATGGCTAAATTATAAGCATGACATTCACATTTTAGAATTAATGACAGGATCCTGTTTTAAACTGTCTTTTTATGAGAATTGCTCTGATAGCAACAATGAGTTATAGCCACATATAACGTCAGACATATGGTAGTAATCACACCATGTGACACCCAAAACATAGTAGATTTGATATTTGAGTCTGCTGCTTCATTCTCAACGACAAAAAAATATCTGCTTGTCAGAAACTAAACAACAATGATGAATTTATATGTTGCCAATTTTGGAAGACTTGGCAAAGTGTTCGCTTTGACTAAACATTCTTTTACTTGGATTATACTCAGCACTGCACAAACATTAATGCAGCCTGTATGATCTTTTTTCCACTTATGGGGAAAAATAGCCCACAGACCACAAGCAAAGGCTGTCCAATAATTACACTTAACACTAACAAGGCATGTAGATCAAACAAAGATATGTAAAAAAAAATAAAAATAAACCATTTCAGTTTCTGATTGATGTTTTATGAGGTTGTACTCACCGTAGCAGTAATGAGCGGACCATGGATCTGTGCGTAGAGCATGGCTTCGTTAACATGCTCGCTGACCCCCAGAATGGCTAGCTCCAGGCTGTGATCCCCTGCTACTGAACGGGATAGTTTCTCAAAGGAGCTGATATATACCCTCCAAGGCTGGTCCAGCTCTGACATACTCGCCAGGCATCCCCGCATTACATTGGAGCAGTAGTCAACACAGGGCTTGATCAGTGTCAAGCCTCTGCAGTGGGAGCAGTATACCATCTTTGTCAGACTTTTTACACAATCACGTCCAAGGTTCGCATACTCCGTTGCATTGATGACCTTCAGTCCTTTATCCAAGGAGAGAACAAGTTGCCTGCCAATCTCCAAAACGTTAGCCAGTCTCTGAGCCATGATGATGGTGTGATTGCCAAAAGGTTTGACGTCCTGCCTGATCATACGAAGACAGTCACTCATTGTGCTGCCTGCTGTAACACTCCCTTCAATGCCTGGGTTAATGAGCCGTGTATACACAAGAGGGAATATATTGCTAAAAAATGTGTGAACTGTCATCTCAACTGAGATGTTTGCTCCACGTAGAAACAGGGACAAGGAGGAAAACAGTTGATTCACATGGGGCAAAGCCTGATGGGACAGGGACGAGTAGCTTCTCTCCAACAGTGAACTTAGGCGTCCTTGAGAGAATGACAGGAGGGACTGTATCGTGTCTGTAAGGAGAGGAGAAAATAAAAAGGAAATAGGATGTGAGAAGAAATATTAAACATAACCGTTTAAATTTATTTATTTGTAAATGCCTACTCTTAAGTTGGTTGACTTCTACATGTCTGTTGTAGAGGTTTCAGTTTCAACAGTCTGCTTTGATAGCAACAGATGAGTTCAAAGTCAGCTATATTCTATAGCCTAATGAGCCAATTGTGCTGAACTGAAACAAGTTAAACTATTCAAACTTTCTCTTGGTAATGCTAGAACTGGAGGTACAGTAAAAAGGAATTTTCTCTATTTTTGTGCATCAGTAAGTATTGAGACAAGAATGCTGAATAAAGAAGCGATATGACTTTGCCCTGGCTAAATGGCAACAATAAGTCATTTCTTGCTAAGCAATGTACTTTACTCATGGGGGCAGACAGATAGACTGAAGGTACCTTTTAGAACTTTAGATCTGTTGCAAGAAGTCCTGTATGTTATTCTGATGCATAATATTTTATTTAGGTTCAATTAAGCCTTTTGAAGATTGCTGGGAAGTGTCCTCTTGCACATCTAAAGGAATAGAGCCTATAGGCTCCCTGCACTCCTAGAAATATTTCCTAATCTATGTATAAATATATATATATATATATATATA